GTTTGTATTCTCACCAGCAATGGATGAGTGTTCCCATTACTCCACATCCTCTCCAGCATAAGCTATCATTAGTGTTTTTGATTTTAGCCATTCTGCCAGGTGTAAGATGGTATCTCAAAGTTATTTTGATTTGCATTTCCCTGATAGCTAAGGAAGTTCAACATGTCCTTAAGTATCTTTTGGCGATTTGAAATTCTTCTGTTGAGAGTTCTCTGTTCAGTTCAGTACTCCATTTTTTTTTAATTGGGCTATTTAGAATTTTAATGTCTAGTTTCTTGAGTTTTTTATATATTTTGGAGATCAGACCTTTGTCTGCTGTGGGGTTGGTGAAGATCTTCTCCCATTCAGTAGATTGCCTTTTTGTCATTAAGACAAAAGCTTTACAGAAGCTTCTCAGTTTCAGGAGGTCTCATTTATTCATTGTTGCTCTTACTGTCTGTGCTACTGGAGTTATACACAGGAAGTGGTCTCCTGTGCCCATGCATTGCAGGTTACTTCCCACTTTCTTTTCTATCAGGTTCAGTGTGGTCAGATTTATATTGATGTCTTTAATCCATTTGGACTTGAGTTTTGTGCATGGTGATAGATATGGATCTATTTTTATTCTTCTACAGGATGACATCCAGTTATGTCAACATCTTTTGTTAAAGATATTTTCTTTCTTCCATTGTGTAATTTTATCTTCTTTGTCAAAAATCAGGTGTTCATAGGTATGTGGATTAATATCCGGGTCTTCAATTCTATTCCATTGGTCAACATCTCTGTTTTTATGCCAATACCAAGCTGTTTTCATTATTGTAGCTCTGTAGTAGAGTTTGATGTCAGGGATGGTAATGCCTCTGGAAGGTCCTTTATTGTATAGGATTGTTTTGGCTATCCTGGGTTTTTGTTTTTCCATATAAAGTTTATTATTGTTCTCTCAAGGTCTGTGAAGAATTTTGTTGCGATTTTGATCGGGATAGCCTTGAATCTAGAGATTGCTTTGGTAGAATTGCCATTTTTACTTTGTTGATCCTTCCTATCCAAGAACATGGGAGATCTTTCCATTTTCTGGTAATTTCTTCTTCAATTTCTTTCTTCAAAGACTTAAAGTTCTTGTCAAATAGGTCTTTCATGTCCTTCGTTAGTGTTACCCCAAGATACTTTATGCTATTTGTGGCTATTATAAAAGGTGATGTTTCTCTGATTTCCCTCTCTGCTTCTTTATCCTTTGTGTATAGTAGGGCTGCTGATTTTTTTGAGTTGATCTTGTATCCTGCCACATCACTGAAGGTATTTATCAGCTGTAGGAGTTCTCTGGTAGAGTTTTTGGGGTCACTTATGTACACTATCATATCATCTGCAAATAACAAAAGTTTAACTTCTTCCTTTCCAATTCAAATCCCCTTGATCTCCTTATGTTGTCTTATTGCTATTACTAGAACTTCAAGCACTGTGTTGAAGAGATGTGGAGAAAGTAGACAGCCTTGTCTTGATCCTGATTTTAGTGGAATCGCTTTGAGTTTTTCTCCATTTAATTTGATGTTAGCTGTCGGCTTGCTATATATTGCTTTTATTATATTTAAATATGACCCTTGTATTCTTAATCTCTCCAAGACCTTTATTATAAAGGAGTGTTGAATTTTGTCAAATGCTTTTTCAACATCTAATGAAATGATCATATGGTTTTTTCTTTCAGTTTATTTATAATATGATTACACTGATAGATCTTTGTATGTTGAACCAGCCCTGCATCTCTGGGATGAAGCTTAATTGATCATAATGGATGATTTTTTTTTGATGTGTTCTTGGATTCAGTTTGCCACTATTTTATTGAGAATTTTTGCATCGATGTTCATGAATGAGATTGGTCTGTAATTCTCTTTCTTGGTTGAGTCTTTGTGTGGTTTTGATATCAGGGTAACTGTAGCTTCATAAAAAGAGTTTGGCAATGCCTCTTCTGTTTCTATTATGTGAAACACATTAAGGAATATAGGTATTAGCTCTTGGGAGTTATGGTAGAATTCTGCACTAAAGCCATCCGGCCCTGGGCTTTTTTTGATTGGGAGGTTTTTGATGACAGCTTCTATTTCCTCATAACTTATAGGTCTATTTAAATTGTTCACCTGGTCTTGATTTAATTTTGGTATATCCATTTCTTTTGCATTTTTCAATTTTGTGGAGTACAGGCTTTTGTAGTAAGACCTAATGATTCTAGGAATTTCCTCAGTGTCTGTTGTTATGTCCCCCTTTTCATTTCTGATCTTGTTAATTTGAGTGTTCTCTCTCTGCCTTTTGATTAGTTTGTATAGGGGTTTGCCAATCTTGTTGATTTTTCTCAAAGAACCAGCTCTTTGTTACATTGATTCTTTGGATTGTTTTCTGTGTTTCCATTTTGTTGATTTCAGCCCTCAGTTTGATTATTTCCAGTCTTCTACTCCCAGTTTGATTATTTCCAGTCTTCTACTCCTCCTGGGTGAGTCTGCTTCCTTTTTTTTTTCTAGAGCTTTCAGGTGTGCTGTCAAGTCTCTGTTGTGAGCTTTCTCTGTTTTCTTTATGTGGGCACTTAGTGCTATAAACTTTCCTCTTAGCACTACTTTCATAGTGTCCCATAGGCTTGGTTATGTTGTGTCTTCATTTTCATTGAATTCAAGGAAGACTTTACATCTTCCTTGATCCAGGGGTGGTTCAGTAGTTGACTGTTCAGTTTCCATGAGTTTGTAGGCTTTCTGGGGGTGGTATTGTTGTTAAATTCTAACTTTACTCCATGGTGATCCAATAAGACACAGTGGATTACTCCAATTTTTTTTTGTATCAAGATGTTTGCTTTGTTACCGAGAATGTGATCAATTTTCGAGAAGGTTCCATGAGGTGCTGAGAAGAAGGTATATTCTTTCCTGTTTGGGTGGAATGTTCTATAGATGTCTGTTAAGTCCATTTGATTCATTACATCTATTCTCTTATTTCTCTGTTAAGTTTCTGCCTGTTTGACCTGTCCATTGGTGAGAGAGGAGTGTTGAAATCTCCTACTATTAGTGTATGGGGTTTGATGTGTGATTTGAGTTCTAGTAATGTTTCTTTTACACATGTGTGTGCTTTTATATTAGGGGTATAGATATTCAGGATTGAGACTTCATCTTGATTAATTGTTCCTATTATGAGTATAAAGTGTCCTTTTTCATCTCTTCTGATTGATTTTAGTTTTAAATCAATTTTGTTAGATATTAGGGTAGTCACACCCGCTTGTTTCTTAGGTCCATTTGATTAGAAAACCTTTTCCCAATCCTTTACTCTGAGATAGTGTCTGTCTTTGAGGTTGAGGTGTATTTCTTGTATACAGCATAATGCTGGATCCTGTTTTTGTATCCATTCTCTTAACCTGTGCCTTTTTATAGGTGAATTGAGTTCATTGATACTAAGTGATATTAATAACCAGTGGTTGTTAACTCCAATTATTTTTTGGTGATAGTGTTTATGTGTTTCCCTTCTTTGAGTTGTGTTGGTGGAGGGTTATCAGATGTCTGTGTTATTGTGGGTGTTGTTGGTTTCCTTGGGTTGAGGTTTTCCTTCTAGTGCTTTCTGTAAGGCTGGATTTAGGATGCGTATTGTTTAAATCTGTTTTTATCATGGAATATCTTGTTTTCTCCATCGATAGTGAATGCAAGCTTTGCTGGGTATAGTAGTCTGGGCTTGCATCCATGGTCTCTTAGTTTCTGCAGCACATCTATCCAGGACCTTCTGCTTTCATGGTTTCCATTTGAGAAGTCAGGTGTAATTCTGATAGGTTTACCTTTATATGTTACTTGACCTTTTTCCTTTGCAGCTCTTAATATTATTTCTTTATTCTGTATGTTTTGTGTTTTGATTATTATATGGCAAGGGGATTTTTTTTTATCTAGACTGTTTGGTGTTCTGTAAGCTTCTTGTACCTTCATAGGGATATCCTTCTTTAGGGTGGGAAAGTTTTCTTCTATAATTTTGTTGAATATATTTTCTGTGCCTTTGAGCTGGAGTTCTCCTTCTTCTACCACTTTTATTCTTAGGTTTGGTCTTTTCATGGTGTCCCAGATTTCCTGGATGTTTTGTGTTAAGAATTTGTTGGATTTAATGTTTTCTTTGATCAATGAGTCTATTTCCTCAATAGTATCTTCAGCCCCTGAGATTCTTTCTTCTATCTCTTATATTCTGTTGGTTATACTTGTCTCTGTAGTTCCTGTTCATTTACCCAGATTTTCTATATCCAGCCATCCCTCTGTTCGTGTTTTCTTTATTACCTCCATTTGGTCGTCAAGCCTTGAACTGTTTCCTTTACCTGTTTGATTGCTTTTTCTTGGGTATCTTTGAGGGATTTTTTTTAATTTCTTCTAACTTTTGTTTGTCTTCTCTTCCATTTCTTTAAGGGAGTTTTTCACTTCCTGTTTAAGGGTCTCCATCATTTTCATAATGTTACGTTTAAAGTCTATTTCTTCTACTTCTTCTGGGTTAGGATGTTCAAGTCTTCCTGTTGCGTGTTCTCTGGATTCTGGTGTTACCATGTTGCTTTACAGGATGTTGGAGGAATTCTTGCATTGGCGCCTGCCCATCTCTTCCTTCAAATGAGGCCAGCAGAGTCTTGGCTTCTTGGTCCAGTCTTTGCTGTGGCTGACTGAGTACTTGGGAGTTTTTCTTGGTCTGCCCTCTCTTAGGTCCCTTCAGCACTGGAACAGGCTGTGTTGGGGGAATCCAAGGACCTTGCAGATGAAAAGGTGGGCTTGGGGGCCTGGGTGGAATGGGGTAAAGAAAGCCTGCAGCAGGGAACACCCAGCTGGATGGCCAGAAAAGCTTAGGGAATTGGAGGGGGTCTGGATTCAGTCCCCAGGGAGTGTCCCAGAGAGTGGCACTTCAGGCTGTCCAGCCATGTGACCACTTACTCACCTCTCCGGATCCCCTCAGCCCACAGGAGAAAATGTTACACTGTGCTTTCATGATTGAGTAGTTCTGCTGAAACCTGGTACAACGTTTGAGTTTTGTTTGCTTTGTAGCAAAGAAATTGCCTTGCTGGACCCTGGATTGCAGAAACTGGACATCTGTCCCTCCTTATCATCAGGTAAAATTTGATGCTTGAAGACTGTTTGGTATTATAATATCTGTATGTCTCAATTCAGGCCTACTCAGTGACTTCATTAAAATGGAACTTCTTAACATCCGCAAACAAATGACACAGAGTTTGTCAGATTTCTTCCATTTAACTGATGAGTTGGCAGATCATATTTTGAGATAGTTTCCATTTAATTATTCAGTGTTATGCATTCTCTACAAAAGATAGGTAGTTGACCTCTGGAGTCTTCCAGACTTCTTTGAAATTGAAATATATGTTTTAACTTTATCAGATCCTAAATTGGTCATTAAAAACTAACAGCTAATCATAATTGTAAATGCCTGAGTCACAACAATGTAGATGTTAACTTCTATTTGACTTTTGAGTTTTAGAAGTATTTTTAGGGCCAGTAAGATGGCTTCATAGGTAAAGGTACTTGCTGCCAAACCTGGCCTTGTAAGTTGTCCTCGGTTTCTGCAGTGACCATGAGTGTGTACATGAAATGTAAATAGCTAGGTGTGGTGGTGCACACCTTTAATCTCAGCACTCAGGAGACAGAGGCAAGTGGATTTTTGTGAGTTTGAGACCAGCCTGGTTTTTATCGTAAGTTCTAGGACAGCCGTGGTTACATACAGAAAGCCTTCTCAAAAATAAATAAAGGTCAGTCAGGGTAGAGTTTGTTTATGTGTGAGAGGGTCCCACTATGTAGTTCTGGCTGACCTGAAACTCTGCCTGTTCCTGCCTCCAAGTTCTAAGATTAAAGGCACGTGTCAGTAAAAATACTTTTAAATGTCTGGGACATAAGAAAGATTCTTAAATATCACATTGTCCATTCATTTTCTCCCATACAATGCAGTTATTTTGGTAATGAGTAGGAAGCTACATAATTTGCTGAAGTTCTACCTTGGTGCTTGTTACGTTAGAACTTGAATGCTTCTGAATTCTGGGGTTTATGGCACAGTCTTTGGTTGTTTAAAGTTTGTGTGGTTGGATGATGTTTCTCTTCAGCAAAGGAGCCGCAGCATGACCCTAAAGGTGCAGCCATCTCCCTGGAAGCCACTGAGGAAACTGTTGTAAGTGAAAACCTGGGAGTCCTCAGTGAACAAGCGAGAGCTTCCGACTCGGATGCAAAGGTACCAGAGAATCTTTTGTATTTGCCTGTGTCGTGTTCATAAGTATATAGATGGCTAACACAGAAAGCCATCTCAGCAGTGCTGTGAAGAGACAGACCAAATACTCTCACTCAGTAGGAGTGCCCTTCATTCTGGTCGGGTGACCGGTCTCTTGGTGCTCTGTGTAAGCACAATCTAAACAAATTCTTGAGAGAAGTAGAATGTGATGCATAATTATATGAGCTTCTTCATATCCTAAAGTTGCCATAAACTACATAAGACCTTTAAATAAAATGATATATATTCTCCTGCCTCAGTATTGAATATTATCTGATGTTCCCTGAAACTTTTTAATATGATAGTACCTATGGGCCATGAAAGTCAGCATCAGTTACGTATCTACAAATGTAGAAGGCGTAGGAATTGTAGGTAAGCATAAACTGGTCTTGAAATTTACTGCTTTTATATGCTAGGAAAAATCTTTGATATTAGACTTTAATTAAATATTCTATCTAAGACAGGGAATGAAGCTCAGTGACAAAGTGTTAGTCTAGGATTTGCAGGGCACCATGCTTTTCCCCGGCACTGAAAAAAAAAGTTCTGCCGATAATGTTGGTGATTCCCTAACTCTTTTGCACAATGTAATTTATTCCTGAACAACTATTTTATACTCTTTCTCCTTAACCCTTGAAATGCTCTTCACTCATCTGCAAAGCTAACCACATTGCTTCCTTTTTCTTCACCAAGAAACAAAGTTAATGGGAAAGAACACTGTCAGCTGCCACCAGTACGTCAGACCACCCGCCTACACCCTCCTAAGATCCAGCTTCCCTCCCAGTATGGTGGGTGCACTCTCCAGGTGTAGCTCCTCTTTCTCCACTGTTAAATCTTTTTCACTAAAATATAAACATACTCTTTTCTCATCTTTAAATAGAACAAAACCTTTCATAGTTACCACCCCTCCGATGTGTGGTTCTGCTTCTCAGGTTGTTTATTCTGTATTCATAACCTCCAGCTTGCAAAGGGTCTGTCTGTGTCTTCATCCTCATCTCCCACCTCCTTTGAAGCCTTTTCCACATGGTTTCCAGAATGAGTGTATTTGTTTGCTTTATTCTGTCTCTGTCTGCCACCTTTCAGTTTGGGTGTTTTTGTGTAGTAGGAGGGGGAGCGGGCCATGTTCCACCACCTGGCTAGCGTAACCCCTGAAATAACCATACCGAAATTGTATTAATTAAAACACTGGCCCATTAGCTCTAGCCTCTTACTGGCTAACTCTTACATCTTAATTAACCCATTCCTGTTAATGTGTATCGCCACTTGACTGTGGCTTACCAGTGTGAGTCTAACCAGCGTCCATCTTGGGCAGGAAAATCATGGTGTCTGCCACACTTCCCTTCTTCCCAGCATTCTGTTCTGTCTACTCTGCCCACTTAAGGGCTGCCCTATCAAAAGGCCAAGGCAGTCTCTCTATTCAACCAATGAAAGCAACATACAAACAGAAGAACCTCCTACACCATTTTTGGTTTTTGTTTTCTCAGTCTCCCTGACCTCTGCACATTAGAGTGATTTTTCTGCCTAGATTCGCTCTCTTGCATAGTGCCATCTAAGTTTATTCCATAAATCTTTATGTAACACAAATTCTCATTGGTCTTAATAATAAAAACCCAGAGTCAGATATTGGGGTTAATGCTGAAATATCAGAGAAGTAAAGGAGCCATCCACTAGAGAGACTTCTTACCCCTGCCAGATCCCCAGACGGAAGGGGCTAAGCTCCTGCCTCTATAGATCCTCAGTCTGAATGGCCAAGATCCTGTCTCCACCAGCCTTATGTTTCTGTTTTTACCTCCCTAGTGCTGGGATTAAAGGCATGTGCCTCCTGAGTACTGGGATCAAAGGCATGAGATCTCAAGTGCTGGGATCAAAAGTATGAGCCACCATCGCCTCTCTGGTTACCTGGTGGCTAGCTCTACCCTCTGATCTCCAGGGAAGCTTTATTTGTTAGAGCACAAACAAAATATCACCACATGCACATGCTAACTCCCTCACATTTTTATTATTAACGCAAACTTCTCTCATCACTAAGATGCCCACTTAGGCATTTAAAACTTAACACAGCTAAAAACAAAAGTTCCTCAGTTATACCTCCCCTGCCCCCACACCACAAACCAGCTCCCATCCTGTCCTCCATCTGTGTTAATGACAGCACCATCTTTCTCAGTTACCCAGTCTCAAAATTTTAGCTTTCTTGACTTGTATCCTCACTCCATATACAGACTACATGGAGGTGCTGCTGGTCCTGTCTTCACATGATATCTGGAGACTGTCTGCTTTACCACCCTGTCAGCACTGCACAGGTCCATGTTCGTACTGTACAAATGATTACAGTCGCCTCCTAGCCTGTTTCTAACCTTGCCCTCTTAGAAGGAATTCTCAGAACAGCATAGGCTTCCTTGTGTCATTATTTCTTCTGCCCTAGACTCTCCAGAAGCTTCTGATGTTATTCTTTCTGACGGCTCTCTCTATGTCTGCCCTGTTGTGATGACCACATGACCACATGACTCGCTCTATGTCTGCCTTGTTGTGATGACCACATGGCTCGCTCTATGTCTGCCCTGTTGTGATGACCACATGGCTCGCTCTGTCTGTCCCAGAGCCCTCCTCCGTTCATCACCTCAGATCTCCCTGATGTTCCTTCTGCATTTATCTCTGACCACTCTCCAGACTTGTTTTTGAGGCATGCTCCAAGACCCCATCCATGCAATCTTGTCTTCCTGGAGTATTCTTCCCCTCGAACATGAAACGGCTAATGCTCCTGTTTCCTTCAGGCTCTGTCTTACTGCTGTTCTCAGGAGGAACCTTTGTTGGGTAAAACCCAAAATTGCAGTGTTCCCCTGTTCCCATACCCCACCTTCTTGTGGTTCTCTTGACCTAGCATATACTACAGGTGGAGTATCCCTATTTGAAGTGCATAAATCCAGAAGTATCAGATTTCAGAATTTCTGTATTTTAATTTGGGGTAGGCTTTGTTTTGAAATAGTGTCTTACTTTGTAGTCCAGCTCTTCTCAGACTGGGCAGTCTTCTTCGTCTCTGAGATGATACCACCATGTACAGCCTTAGAATGTTTGTGTAATAAGAAATCCAAACTCTGAAATCCTCCCAGAATATTGGAGCATTGTTTTGGCACTAACAGAATTTCAGGTCTCAGAGTGTTTTATGTTTACAGACCATGTACGCCCACCTGAATACATGTGTGCACTTTGTTTGTCTTTCCCCTCCTGCTAGGATAAAACCCCAAAAAGACAAGAATTTTTGTCCATTTTGTGTAATGCTGGGAGAGCAGAGGCTGATAACTGCTGAATGAATAGGGATGAGTGAGAACTGGGTGTGCTCTAGAAACAGAAGGAAAAGTCCATGAAGTGCTTGGTTAACAGTTGGACAGACAACACATGGTGCCATTATTAAATGCTAGCTGGTCACTGTTAACAGTGTTTCAACACCTCACAGGGATTGTCCTAGATTATCCATGGGATGTTATGAGGCACTTGGAGTTCCCCAAGAATGCCCTTAGGGTCAGTGACGTGCCAATAAGAACTCACAGAGGTCAGCAAAACTGTTACCCATGGTTACATTGATGGCAGTGAAACAATAAATCACAAAGGGAAGATGCTCTCAGGCAGAGTCCCCAGCATTCTCTTTAGTGCATGTGTGTGTGCATGCGTACGTGTGTGTGTGTGTGTGTGTGGCATAGCACAAGAATATTGCCAACCAGAGATGCTTACCTGAGCTGAGTGTTGGAGTTTCTATTAGAATCAGTCACAAAGGCTGGACTGTGCTTAGTCCTTTGGGCTTTAACCCTAACAAAGGTCAAGTTAATATCAATTGCATGACCCAAGGTCACTAAAATAAATCGTACTATTGGCATACACTGTCTGGCATGGTCCCAGAATTCCAAATAAACAGACACTTACATGGGAAGACATTCGAAGAGCTTAGAGGTTATCTACCAGAATCAGGACAAGGGGCAGTCCTTTAAATATGTAGTATGTGGATAACTCACCCTTGTTGAGTTTCCCTTCACTGTACATGAGATTTGTACTGTAATTTCCTTTTACAAATGAGGGGACCAAGTCAAGTGTCAGTGATCTTTTCTGAGGTCACACTCAACAGTTCCACAACTCTGCCAACAGAGAACTTTTTCCTTTTATGGACCCAGATGGTACTATATGACTTTGTGGGCCATTGGATCACTGTAGCATCTACTTAACTCCACCATAGCACAGAGGAAGCCATAGACAATGTAGGCTGCTGTGTTCACATATGGTTTCATTTACAAAAGGAGGCAGCTGCAGGCTGTCGACTCCAGCTCCTCTGTATCACTGAACTCTAGGCTAGGGAACTGTTAACTGTCATAATTTTCAAAGAACCTGCTTTTGATTTTACTGATTCTCTTTTGCTTTTTTGTTACCTGCTTAACTCTGATTTATGTCTTTCACTTTTTTCTGCTTACTTTTGAATTTAATGTGCTGTTTTACAGTTTTTTAAAGACTTCTTTTTATTTAATTTTATCCTGCTTGTATGTAATGTGTAATATGTCCACGTTTGGCACCTGTGAAGGCTAGAAAAGGGCATTAGTTCCCCAGATGACAGTAAGAGAAGTACAGATGATTGTGAAAAGGGGGAGAGATTCTCAGGGAAGAGCCACTGCCCCAGAGTTACAGCTCGTTAGGAGCTGCCACATGGGTTCTGGGAACTGAACCCAGGTCCTCTGCAAGAGCAACAAATGCTCCTAACTACTGAACCATCTCTCCAGTCCTTTAGTTACTTTTATTTTATTTATTTTGGTTTCTTTTTTCAAGACAAGGTTTCTCTGTGTAGTCCTAGCTGTTCTGGATCTCATACTGTAGACCAGGTTGGCCTCAAACTCAGAGATTTGCCTACCTCAGCCTTCTGAGTGCTGGAATTTAAGGTGTGTGCCACCATTGGTGAGGCCATTGGCTTGAAACATCATCTAATGATTAAGGTATTTAGTATTGTTAATTCACCATAAATCTGCTTTAGCAGCATCCTACTTAAAATAGTAATTGTGGATTCATGAGCAGTGCTAAAAAGAGTACGTAGAATGTACTTTTACCTAGCTTCTCCTGGTGGCATGCTGCGGAACTGTAGCACAGTGTGGCAGCTTTGGGACATTAGTATCTTATTCGGGAAGACCTGGCCTTTATCTGTCTGTTGACAGTAATGCAGGTGAACTACAGAACATCCATCTTATCAAGCTGCCCTTCATATTGCGCCCCTTGTAGTCATACCTACTTCTTTCCTGCAGCTAGCCCTTACGAACTTTAACAAGCACTGTTTCCATTTCTACAATTTTGCCATTTCAAGAATGTTACTATCTCTGTGAGTTTGAGGCCAGTTTCTTTGAGTTCAAAGCCAGCCTGGTCTGTAGAGCTAGTTCTAGAACAGACAGGGCTATACAATGAAACCAAAATAATGTCTCAAAAAATATAAATAAAAGAGTGTTACGTAAATGGAATCATGTAACTTGTCATCACCTTGAGGATTATTCATTCAGATTGTTCCATACATCAGTAAATTGATATTTTACCCCTCAGCAGTACTCCACAGTATGGGTACCACAGTTAGAGAACTATTCATTTGTTGATGGACATCTGAGTGGCTTCAGTTTGGGATATTACAAATATAGTTATTGGCTACAGACCTCCCTGTGTAGGGTTTATGTGCACCTAAGTTTTGATGTCTCCTGGATAAGTGGGCTACCCTTTGCTGGGCTGTGTAGTAGCTGCCACTTTACTTCCCTGCAGTTGAAATCTGTGGTTAGGGTTTTCAGTGCCTTTGGAGAGTAGAAATGGATGTTGGATTCGCTGGAACTGGAGTTACATACAGATGATTGTGAGCTGCCATGTAGATGCTGGGAATCAAATCCAGGTCCTCTGGAAGAAGAACCAGTGCATTTAATTACAGCCTTATCAGAATTAAACTCCTTTTTTCCACTGGTACTTAGTGCATGCTTCCTTAGCATACTGTCAGTCATTTGGAAAAGAGAAGCAGTAAGAAAAACTTTGTCTAAAACATACTAACACATGTTACAAATTTAAAGCACTTCTGATTCCTTTTCATGTGTTCTAAGATACATCAGACTCATGCTGAAAATGATTTTCAGTGAAGCACCTGGAGAATTAGCTTTTTATCTTCCACATTTTCTTCTGGGGACATGGCATGTCTTTCCACTTGGTGTTGTGGATATTTTATTTTGTTTTGTGGTTCTCAACAGAGGGCCTCATGTTTGCTGCACGGGTGATCTAACAGTGAGCCACACTCTCAAGTTTTCTACTCAATAATGTATTCAATTTTTGTGGTGTTGTTTGTTTGAGACAAGGTCTCATCTAGCCTGGGCTGACCTCAAACTCATGGCCTTGCACAATTTCTCATCCTCCTGCCTCTACTGGGGGAATCCGGGTGTGTGCCAGCACGTCCAGCAGCAGAAAACGATCTTAAGTAATTGTTGAGCGTTGCGCGTTTTAAATTATTTAAAATAAAGCTGTCTTCAGGCATCTACTAGTTAAATTCTACCCCACAGCTCTAATAAGGCTGGCAGGCCTCATGGTTTCAGTGTATCACAGAATACTCATGTCTGCTTCCTCAACTGTGATCTCTTCACAGCGCAGCACTTCAGACAAGGCAGCAGGTAAAGAAGAACGAGAGAGTCCTCAGGAGGTTTGCAGGTCTGTAATACGACTTTAAATCTGTTGCGCATCATTGGCTAGTATGCCACAAGCTGTGCAATGGATATGGTCTAATTAGTGTGCCAGTTGTTGCCAGATGTAAAGGTAATTTAAGTTACTTTAAAACTGGTAGTAAAGTGGGGCTACTCTTATTCTTTGCATAGGTGTGTATGTTTGCACTGTGTAGCTGCACATATGTGAGTTTGCATGCATGTCTGTGTTTTGCCTCTGATCTTCAGGCAAGATTTATTTATTTAAACACAAATAATATATTACTATAGGAAGGTGGTTTAGGTGATGCACAGATGGGGCGGTTTGTGCGTGATGGCAGGTGCATTCTCCTAGCACTGGGTACTGAATTCACATGAGACACTTGTTGATTTAGCCATTATGACTTTCATGAAGTCATGTAGCCCTTTCTATTGAATTTACCACTATTTTAAAAATATTTTATTTTTAATTATGTGTGTGTGTGTGTGTGCGCGCGCGCGCGTGCGCAGGTGTCCTCAAAAGTCAGGAAAGGGCATCAGCTCCCTTAAAGCTGAAGTTACAGATTGTTATAAGTCACTATAGTGGTTTGAAAGAAAATGGCCCCCAAAGGGAGTCTCACTGTTAGGAGGTGTTGCCTTGTTGGAGGAAGTGTGTCACTGTGGGGGCGGGCTTTGAGGTCTCTTTTGCTTACGCTTCCCTCAGTGTGACTGTCAGTTGACTTCCTGTTGTTGGCAACATGTAATACTCTCAGCTTCAGCACATCTGCCTGCATGACATCATGTTCCCTGTCATGATGATAATGACATTATGATGATAATGATGGACCGAACTTCTGAAACTGTAAGTGATCCACCCCAATTAAAAGTTTCTTTATAAGAGTTGCTGTGGTCATGGTGTCTCTTCACAACACTAGAGGTCAGGTAATGGTGACATGCACCTTTAATCCTAGGATTTGGGAGACAGAGGCAGATGGATCTCTGTGAATTCAGGGCTACTTTGAGATACACAAAATCAATGCAGAAATAAATCCAGGTGGTGGTGGCTCACACCTTTAATCTCAGTACCAGGGAGTCACAGCCTTTAATCCCAACACTAGAGGAAATATAAAATGGAAGGAGGGAGAGGCTTAGGCTGTTTAGTTTGTAGTCGCCGAGCCTTGGTAGAGGTAAGTCTTTTCTAATGGCTTTAGCTTTGCCTTTGGTCTTCAGGCAAGATTTATTTATTAAAATACAAATAACATACCACTATATTCCACCCTTATTTAGCTGCTGTCACAAGGCACACTCAAGTCATAAACATCCATTTATGTTCAGGCTAAGATGTGCATATGTGGCTCTTCAGACCAGCAGTAGCATATGAGAACTTGTCAGAAATGCAGTTGTAGGGTCCTACCCAGACCTACTGAACCAGGAACTCGGGCTGGGACCCAACATCAGTCTGTGTTCAATAAGAATTCACCAGATGGAAGCCCACGGCTGACAACTACTATTACAGAGGACAGAGCAGGAGCGTTAGATTCCGTGGATGCCCAACGTGCTTTATGGCTGTCTTAGTTAAAGTTGCAATTGCTGTGAAGAGACGCTGTGACCATTTTGTGTGTGTTGGGGGGTGGGGTTTTAGACAGGATTTCACTGTGTAGCCCTGGCTGTCCTGAAACTCACTCTGTAAGCCAGGCTGGCCTTGAACTCACAGAAATCCACCTATCTCCCAAGTGCTGAGATTAAAGGCATGTGCCACCACCACCACCCAGAAAACCATGGTACTTTTTAATAAAGGAAAACATTTAACTGTGCTGATTTACAGTTCAGAGGTTTAGTCCATTATCATCGTGGTGGGAAGCATGGCAGTGCACAGGCAGATGTGGTGCTGGAGACAGAGCTGAGAGTTCTGCATCTGGATTGCCAGATAGCAGGAAAAGCGAGTGTGCCACTGGGCCTGGTTTGAGCTTCTGAAACCTCAGAGCCCACCTCCAGTGACACACTTGCCACAATCTGGCCACATCTATTCCATCAAGGCCACACCTCCCAATAATGCCTTTCCTGTGAGCCTATAGGGCCATTTTCTTCCAGACCACCACAGTGGCCTTGCAGATCTTCAACACTGAGGCGGTGTCACTGCAGTCAGCAGTAGGGAGGCTCCAGCAGTCATCATCCATGCTCTCTTTCTGCTGCTGCTTTTGTCTGCTTTATTAGGGAAGAGTGTTGATTACATGTATCAGTGATATCTCAAATCAAGGAGAAAAGTGATTGTCTTTTTAAAATTTTTAAATTCTCTTAATGCTACTAAATTTCAGCTGTTATAACTATAATTCCCTGCTTTTTACTGGTTTTTCTGTTCTGCCACAATTCCCCCTTAAATCCAGTGAAAAGGCTTGTTAAAATCTGTTTTTAAAGTTAAAAGATGATAGCATCCGAATATTGGCTCCTTTCTCTGAAAAAGTCAATTAATTTGTACCTTTTAGGCATCCTCAAGTTATATATATAATATATATATTATATATATATAATATTGATATTGAGTTTCCTCAACTCAATACAGGGTTTCCCTGTAGTTTTGGAGCCTGTCCTGGAACTAGCTCTTGTAGACTGTTGACTGAGGTTTTCTGTCCCACCCGATCCTGCAGCCATTAAGTCCCAAAGAAATCACACAGAGGTCTATATTAATTATAAACTGATTGACCCAGTATCTCAGGGTTCTTATTAACTCTTATTACTTATATTAGCCCATAATTCTTGTCTGTGTTAGCCACATGGCTTGGTACCTTTTTCGGCGAGGCAGTCACATCTTGCTTCCTCTGTGGCTGGGTCATGACTACAGACTCAAACTTCCCTCTTCCCAGAATTCTTTTTACCCCACCTCTACTTCCTGCCTGGTTGCCCTGCCTATACTTCCTGCCTGACTACTGGCCAATCAGCATTTTATTAAAAATAATACAAGTAACAGGATCAAAGAGAATTGTCCCACAGCAGTAGACCAGGCTGGCCTTGAACTCACAGAGATCCTCCTGCCTCTACCTCCCAAGTGCTGGAATTAAAGGTGTGCATCACCACTGCCCAGTGTTATTTTTCTATGTAAGCAACTTTCAGACTAAAATTTTAATGAAATTTGTTATTTCATAATATTACATACTGAAGTGCAGTTAAAGTTGTTTATATCATCAACCTGGTAATATTTTTATAGATCTGTCCAGGGAATCTCAGACATGTATAAGTTTGCTGCATACTTATCCAGAAGAACTAATTTAGTAGCTCCTCTTTATCCATGGAAGATAGTTCCAAGACCCTGTAGATGTCTGGAACTTCATATAGTACCAAACGGCATGGTGTGCTTTCTCCTATACATACATCCTATAACTTAAGCACAGTAAGAGGTAATTATTTTAGCACTATGTTGTGTGAATTCTGATGCTGACTTGTTCTGTCACATCTCATGATGACGCGAGAAGACAGGCTGCCCCTAGGAGGAGATGAAGTGAAACCACAGTGCCCAGAGTAGTGCAGGGCTAGGCTGTTACTACTGGGCTCCTGTTCCTTGAATACCAGCAGTGCAATACAAAGACAGTTGACTGTACCAGCATGGATAAATGACTGACCAGTGCCTGGATATACTAACAGGAGGATAGTTCACATCGCAGTATGAAGCAGGATAGCCAGATGCCATCCTAATCTACAGAACAGGGTGAAGTTTAAAGTTAGAAATTATTCTTGGGGTTTTCTGTTAGTATTTTAGCATTATGGCCTTTCCTGGGTTACTTAACTGAGAAGCTGAATAAGGGTTTTGTGCTATGAAGCATGGCTGCATTCTGTCCTCAGTGGTATATTCCCGTAGTTCCCACTCTTGGGAAGTTGAGATGGGAGTTTCTTGACGTAGGAGTTCAAGGACAGGGTAGTGATGTTCCATGTCAAAAAGCTTTGTTGTGGTGGTGGTGGTTGCAGCTTTGGGGTTTGCTAGAGTGGTTTTTGTGTATATTTTGGGGGGGATCGAATTTTTGTTTTTGCTTTTGAGATAAGATCTTGCTTGTAGCCCACACTGTTCTCAAACTCGTGATCTTCCTGCCAACTCCCTCCTGCACTGGGATTGCTCTGATCTTAACCATACCACCCTGTATTCATTGTATTTGTTACTCTGACAAAATGTCTGTCAGAAGCAACTCAAGAGAAAAGGATTTGCTTTGACTCATGGTCTGAGAGGTGTTTCATGGCAGAGAAAACATGTTACAGTTCATGGCAATTAGATGACGGCAGGAACTCGTCACATCCCAGTGGATCAGGAAGATGAAAGTGCAGGCCAGGTGGGCCTGCACCGTAGCCACTCATTTCTCCTACTGGCCCCTGACTCCTAAAGGTTTTATAGATTCATTCAAATCATGGACCCATGGAGATCATTTCATATTCAATCCATAATCCATTATTCCTGTCCCGACCTCAACCATTTGACACGTATTGGTCTTCTATGAAGAAGACAGGACCTTGGGCTAGCAAGATGGCTCAGCAGGTAAAAGTGCCTGCTGTACAGCCTGACAGCCTGAGTTTAGTGTCCAGAGTTCACGTGAAGGTAGAAGAGAAGACCCAGTCTCACAGTTGTCCTCTGCCTGCCACACACACACTGTGTGTATCTGTCCCCTCCTGGAAAGCGTCATCATCATAAATTAAGTAAAATAAAATTCGGAGAGAACAGGAGCACCCCATTGAAAATATTGTAAAATCATAATATATAGTGTATAGATTAGTACGTGGCACATGCCTAATAGTAGGTTATAGTCTGTTATAGTCTGCTTTCTTGATTCTCATTGCTCTAATATTATATAAATAAGCTGACATTCTGATCCAGTTTTTTTGTTCATACAGCAAAGATTCTAAAGGTGCAGAAGTTGTGGTTAATGAAGGTCAGTTATCAGTCATGGGCCCCAAACCTTTCTGCTCATCAGTGCTTCCTTTGAATCTAAGCAGTCATCGGGAAGATGCAGTGCCTGCACCCTGGATGAATGGTAATACCTGTTCTTTCATTAAGAGCTTGTCAGCGCGAAATAATATGGGAATTTCACAGAAGTCATTGCTACTGAAATAAAAGCATCTGTATTTATACGACAGTGGTACTATGTAAAAAACCTAAAATATTCATACTTGATTATACTTATATATGTTTAGGATTTTGTTATTTTTCATAATTCACAATTCTCTTAATTCTCTAAACAAAATGAGCTCTTTTGAAGAATGAGTTTGGAAGCTTAAGTTACTTTGTACAACACACATCTCCTCCTTCTGAACCTTCCCAGTATTCCCTTCATCCCACCCTGGTGTTGTAGGCCATTGCAGCCAGCCCACAGCAGCTGTGCGTTTTATTTCAAAGCCTTCTAACTTTCATAATATAAATTGCTGTAAAGTTACAGACAGCATATCTTCAGCCTGCTCCAGATTATATCCAGATGCTACAGAGGTAAAATATAAACAATTGAAAAAGAATATTTGTGTTAAGGAGATGACTCATTGGGTATATGCTTGCTTCACAAATGTAAGGACCTTTTGGCCAGATATGGTGGCATGTGCTTTTAATTCCAGCACTTGGGAGGCAGAGGCAGATGGATCTCTGTGATCCTGGTCTAGCCTGATCCAGCTTGGTCTACATAGCAAGTTCCAAAATAGCCAGAACTAGATAATAGAGAGACCCTGGCTCAAAAAACAAAACAAACAAACAAAAAATATGAGGACCTGAATTCAGATTCCTAGCACCCATGTAGAACTTGGGTATGATGGTACACATCTATAAACCCAGTACTGGAAGAGAGGAGCAGGGTGGATCCCAGGGGTTCACTGGCTGTTCAGTCTTGCTGCAACAATGAGCTTCAGGTTCATTGAAAGACCCTGTCTCAGAAACAGGAGTGGAAGACTGGAGAGATGGCTCAGCAATTAAGATACTGTTGCTGTTGCTCTTGCAGAAGACCTGGGTTCCATTCTCAGCATCCACATGGTTGTTCACAACCATCTGTATCCCCAGTTCCTGAGGACCTGAAGCCTTCTTCTGACTTTCTCGGACATTAGGCACACAAATGGCACACACATAGACTTTCAGCCAAAACATTCATATACATAAAATTAAAAGAAAAACCAAAAAAGAGGTAGAAGCTGGGCATGGTAGTTCCAGCACTCCAGACGGAGAGGCAGGCTGAGCTCTGTGAGTCTGCGGTCAGCCTGGTCTACGGACTGAGTTCTAGGCCAGCAAGGGATACGTAGTAACATGGTGGCTCAACAATCAGCAACAAAGAAAAATGTAGTAGAGACTGATAAAAGAAGATACCTGATGTTAACTCCGGCCACCTTGAACATGCAGAGGAAAACACACTTGTGCACGCGCATGCACGCGCACGCACACACTATATATAGAAGTTGTCTTTAGAAAAGAATGTTTTTAAATGTCCTAATTCTTGTTTTAAAAGACACCAGTAGGCCTAGAGAGATGGCTCCATATTTAAGATCACTTACTGTTCTTTCAGAGGACCGTAGTTCAGGTCCCAGCACCCATGACGAGCAGCACACAACTGTCTAACTCCAGCTCCAGAGTATCCAGCATCTCTGGCCTCTGCAGGGAACACACTCATATAGATACCCACATACAGATACATACATTGCACACAATTAAAAATATCAAAACTAAAGTTTTAGAAAACACCGTTAAAGAGTACAGTGTCTGCTGTGCTGGTCAGCGTAGAGTAATTTAACAAAGAACCGCAGACTAGGGGGACTAAATAGAGATTTCTTTCTAATGATTGTGGAATCCTAGCAGGTTGGGTTTCTGAGGATCCTGTTTATGTCTCAAAAGGCCACCCTCTTACCGAGTTCATGTATCTCTTTCTCTGAGTGTATAAAGAGAGTATCTATGCTAATAGAGCCCCTGGCTTCATTGAGGATTAGGAGCTCAGGCTATGAATCTTTCAATTTCCTAGTATGTATTAAAACCACCACAAGTCCTCTCTTTTGACTTCCTAGGGCAGAAGACATTGCAGATGTTGCACAGACACATAAAAATAAATAAAATTATTCTTTTTTAATTTTTAAAGAATAAAGAGTATACCAGAGTGAAACTAAAGCAGTCAGGAGTGGTGCCACTGTTCAGAAGTCAGTGTTCATGCGCCTGTTTGTAATGTTCTTTTACTTCTAGATTTCAGATTTCCAGGAAGACCTGTCTTACAGCTGCAGAACCCTGAAACTTGTGAAATATTTAAAAGAGAAAAAAATATGGGGGTAAGTTCCCCCTCCTGAAAAACAATAATCTTGTAAATTATAACCCATACTTAGGGAAATATAAGAGGAAGGATCCAGTCCCTTTTTAAATACTTGGAAACACAGATTTTGGGTGGGGATTAGGTAGGAATGAGTACTGACTTAGAAGATGTTCACCAGTAACAGGTTTGAGGTGGAACAAAGGAGCCTTTGAAACTGAAAGCTGGGAGAAGGAGGGACCATCAGCTGTGGGAGATGTCTGGTGTATAAAGTTCAGCTTTTCATTTCTCTTGTTAATCAGAGGAACTGAGGAGAGTTTTGTTTCTAATAAATGTATCTGAAATGCAGTGTGTTCTTGGTATATCTAGCTTTCTGTGAAAGAGGAGACAAGAGCAGTAAAGAGATGAGCCCTGTGTACGCTTTTAAAGATGAATGTGTGGACAGGGAATGCACAGAATATTTCTGTGATTCCTAGTCAGTTTTCTATGAACCTAAAATTGTCCTAAAAACAAGTCTTTAAAATGTGAAGCAAGCCAGGCATAGTGGTACATAACTTTAATCCTGGCACTCTGGAGGCAGAGGCAGGAGGATCTCTGTGAGTTCCAGGTCAGCCAAGGCTACATAACAAAACCCTGTCTCAAGGAAAAAAAGAAAAGAAAAAAAACCAGTCAGAATCTTTTATGTGAGAAATTAATAAAAGTCACAGGTAAATAAGCATTGGAATACTCAGATGTATTCTCACGACTGTTTTATGATTAACTTGGAAGGTTCTTTCTAATCTTCTAGGTGTTCCAGAAACCCTTAGGGTTGGTGATACCCCACAGATACTGCAGGTTCCACTTCAACACATTACGTGGCTGTGAGCGAGCACAGTGCAAGTTTGTCCATGTGCCTGAGCAGGGGGACGAAAAGGTGAAGCCCTGTCTGGGTTCATGCTGTATGTCAATTGTGTGTGTAAGTCTATACAGAGTCTTGCTGTGTTTCTCAGGCTGATCTCAAATTCCTGCTGCCTCAATCTCTCAAGTAACCCTGACTAAAAGTGCATACCATAGCGCCTGGCTTGCCCACTCTGACTTAGTATTTTTGACATCTAGTTGGTAGTGTTTCTTTCTCCTTACTGTATAATAGTTAGTATTCTGTTGTACAGGTTTATCAAGATTAACTTCATCAGTGAACATTAAGGTTGATGAATATTTGCCTTGTTTACCTGTTTGGATAACACGGCAGTGATACTCTTGGCATTCTTTCCACGTCTCCTGGTGAACGTGTGCTTATCAACCCTAAGAACTGCATGTATCCAGAACAAGTGCTGGAGTGGCTGTCCCAGGTCACACTCAGCAGTGCCAGGGCGTTCTGGTTGCGTTCCACTCTTGCCAGTTCTTGGTGTCATCACAGTCATGGTGGCCATCCAGCCAGCTATGGTGGTGCATACCTAAAATTCTAGAACTTGGGAGGTGGAGGCAAAAGGACCAGCCTAGTATACATTTCAAGCCTGTGAATTAACATAAACGTCAATTTTTATTCTAAACTCTAAGCTTATAACTTTTTGTTTTCTTGTAAAACATATAAAGGTGATTTACTATTTTATGACTTTTTTAGATCTGCACGGATGTGTTTAAGAAATACATAAATCTCAATGAGAAGTGTTTGCTACAGCGAGCAGGTATGGAATAACTGAATAATAATTACAAATTCCTGTGAGTGGTTTCTTCACACATGTGCTGTTGTATCTCTGAGTGTTAAGCCTGTCAGCCTGAGTTTGATCCCTATACCCTGCCTCAGTGTGGAAGGATAGAGCCAAGTCCTCAAAGTTGTCCTCTGCCCTCCACACTCACCCCCCACATATGCATCATGCACAGACATACACAATTTTTAATTAAAAAATAAACTTAAAATTTATTTTGGAACTAAGTATGAAAGCTAATCTTCCCTCATCATCCCTTTTCCACATTTCCCCTCATTGCCAGGGCAGCATCCTATCAAGTCTGTGCCACTCCATCAACATGCCAGCCTGTGCTGTGCCTCACTGCTGCTGGCACTGAGCATGCTGGATTATGAACCCTAAGAGGATAAGAGCCAAAGTTTATATATTGTTCCCTGACACAGCCACTAAAGCCACACAGTGTGGTAGTAACAGAGCATTACACTCCCCTTTTATCAGCTTCAGTCTCATTCCTCTGGAAACAGTCAGTGAGTCAGAGGCAGTAGCACCCTATATGGGAATGCACTCATGATGCAGGGGTTTTGACAGCCAAGGAGAAATATATGGGATTAAATGTAGTGAGTTTCCAAGTTTTAGAGCCCATTCTCAGGCCTGTGAAAAGAGAGATACCTGGATGGAAACCGTGGGAAACTCGCCATATGTGAGACCGTGTCAGCATCAGTGGCCACGAGAAAAGCACCTATTTAGTTTGGGGTGTCTCTCTCTCTCTCTCTCTCTCTCTCTCTCTCTCTCTCTCTCTCTGTCTGTCTGTGTGTGTGTGTGTGTGTGTGTCTGTGTGTGTGTGTCTGTGTGTGTTACAGTGCCAGGGTCCTGTGGTTAAGAGCACACACTGCCCTTGCAGAGGACCAGAGTTTGGTTCCCAGCACTCATGCTGGATGGGTGATAACTGCCAGTAACTCCAGCTCCTGACAATCCAGTGCACTCTTCTGGTCTCCTCAAGCACTTCTCTCATATGCACAAACCCACACTGACACGTACATGTACACATAATTAAAAATGAAACGGAATGGGCCTTGGGGACACACACCTTTAATCCCAGCACTCAGGAGGCAGAGGCAGTTCCAGGACAGCCAGGGCTACAGAGAGAAACCCTGCTTACCATTAACTTTTCAGTTTCACTGAACTTTTTCATTATCTGGTGTCTTTCCCAAGCAGTGTTGGGTGATTCAGACAGTGAATGAATATTTGTGGTTGAAATAACACAAAACTAAAAGTGATTTTTGCTAAGGCAATTTTAGCTAAAATGTGCATATTTAGACTAGGAAATTTTGGAATGGATAAGATTATCTCAGTTAATTTTAGTAAAATTCTGTGGAAAAGGTGAAAATGGGTAAGTGTTGTTACACAGAAAATAGATTAAGGAATTGGATAGACAAAACTACTTTATTAAAGGAAATTGATAATTTCTTAGTCTACAATGATAAACTGAAATAAAAAACATTCCAGGTCAATATGCTGGTGAAGTTAAGGCTGTAAGAACAAATAATATGTCTCAGAATCCTCACCATTGCCAAGTTACCATGTATCTCCAGGCCATGCGCAGGCCTCAGCCCTGGGGGAGCGAGGCCCTGAGGACAGGTGGTCAGGACCACAGTGGCCTTCACACTGCAGACTGAGCATGCTTGCCTTCTGATGTCGCTGCCATTTTAACGTTTTTCTTTCATTTTCATCAATTATTTCTGACATTTCTGGTCCCTTCCAAGGAATGAATTTATACAATATCTTTACAGGAAGTCCATCTACATTCAGCTGTCTTAAGAGCCACAATGACTTTTTTTCCCCCACTTTCAGCGCACGTATTTCTGGAGTACTACAGGAAGTTCCCTCCGGGGATCCACTTCAGTTTACAAGTGCTGAATGACCTTCTGATTTCTTTGCTCGAGCATCACCTACTGAAAGAGGTCTTTGAGGTAGTGAAGCTGAGCATCATGGCTAAAATGCTGGTGAGTGACCTGAGACACACAAGCAACACCCTGTTGGTCTCCTCCTTGTGGGTGTCAAGTTAGCACTTAGATTTCTGCCTGTCATATACTCCCTAAAGAACACATTTTTCAATATAAATGAATTTGAGAAGTTTAAGGTGCATTGATAGACATGAAAGTAAGTGCTATTCTTGTTTGTTTGTTTCTTTTATTCAGCCTGCTCTGAAAATATTACTAAAAATATTTGAATTTGTGGCAGCTATGAAGTTAAGGAATGCTGTGCCTACTATAATTGAGATTTTTTGCAAGGTATGATTTTAATCTCTTTTATTCTCTGATGGGGAATAACAAAAAGAGACTGTTTCCACATAATGATTTATCTGTCTTTTTTTCATATACTACTTGGTAAAGAATTCATAAATGTTGTATTTTTCTCCTGAAATAGTTCAGAAGCATCCTACAGTCAGTGTTCCCCTTAAACAAATTCTCTTAAGTATTCAGATGCTTTCTTACTGTAAATTATGTTCTTCCCTACTCCTTAATTATAGCTAAAAGAATTCTTTCTCAGAACTATTTAAGGTCACAACAAAAACAAGTTAGTGTATAAATAGAAAATTGTAACTAAAGTAAAGTAGTTAGGAATTGGTTTTTAAATTTGGCATTAAACAAAATGAGGAACAAGAATTTTTTTTAAAAGGATTTTATTTATTATATATACAGTGGTCTGCCTGCATATACACCTGGAGGCCAGAAGAGGGCACCAGATCTCATAGATGGTTGTGAGTTACCATGTGGTTGCTGGGACTTAAACTCAGGACCTCTGAAAGAGCAGTCAGTGTTCTTAACCTCTGAGCCATCTCTCCAGCCCAGAACAAGAGTTTTTTAATGCTATCCAAAAACACACATTAAAAACTTAAAGTGTGTGTGTGCGCGCACACATGTGGGGGCTGGAGGTCAGCATCACTGTGTATGCTCACGTGGGGGCTGGAGGTCGGCATCACTGTGTGTGTGTG